ATATCGCTCACGCGACGATTCACGGCAATATTTATAGGGCGAAAGGGAGGTAAGCGACCGGGTTAAACCGATGAGACGCTTCGCTTTAAACGAATTCGCCTCCAGCGATCACTGTTAACTTCTTCTTGTTTGATCTCGAGATTTTAATTTCGTATAATTTCCAAGTAACAGTGCTGTTACGATAAATTTCAGAAATTCTAGAACAAAGTTTGAAACAGATAAGATAAGATGGGGATGAGAGAGTTATTCGAATAATTATAGAATACAACAAGATTTTAATTTTTCTATGGGAGAAGATAATTGGATAAATTAAATTTTGAAAGAGAGAGAAAGAGGGAAAGAGAAAGAATATTATTTTAATTCGGGCTAAGATGAGATCCCTCGTAGAAAAATTAAATTATATATTTTACATAACGTTTAAAATTAACGTGATAACAAAGTAAAGCTCCTGTAATTCGGGATACAGGAATTTCTCTGTATAACAGAAAAGTTACACTGCTCTCCTCTTTCCTAGTTTCAAAACTAAACAACTATGTGTTCTAAACAAACGAAATTTCGATATACCATCCAAACTTTCCACGTTCTTCCCCAATTTCAAATTAATACCACGTATACACTATGTAATATCCAATCCATCCATTTAATTATTTACTTCTTCTACTTCTTTTTTCGCTCCTCTAAAATATTCGAACTCTTATATTTTTCTGAAAACGTATCGTACATTATATAAAAGCTGCCAAACTCATCTTTCTCGTTCCTCCCACGATTAAAGGAGCAACAACAACTTATGTATGTTTTATCGATGCTAGACGACATTACGAAACGTATAGCAGAGAGATTGCGGCCTCGCTCACGCGTTATATTGTGATACCAAGATGATATCCGTCTTACGTCACCACCTTAAAAATCTTGTTTTTACAATATCTGTAACGTAATTCTGATCACTCAACACGAACGATCGCGAGTTACGATATCCAGGATCTTCATTGATTTGAAATTTTTCACGCAAATTTCGTTCGTAAGACTCGTGAGCTTGGCAACTCGATTATTTTTTGATGAAAGGAGAAAATGAATAAATGAGGGAGGGAGGAGAGAAATAATGGAGAGAATAATTGTTCCAATTCGTTTTCTTTTCTACTTGTTTCGAAATTCTAACCGAATTGTAATGGTTAGGGTGCACGTATGGTGTGTAAGTGGTTTCTTTCAAAGTATGTTAATCGTCGAATCGAGGTTGAAAAACGTACTGCTTGGTACAAAGGTAAATGAATTATGAGAGATCCTTGAATCCATTTAAACGAGGATGAGTAATCGTGATGGAGAAGCTGCAATTTTTCCATTTGAGATTATAGGAAATTATTTGATTAAGAAATCGGTATAAAAGTGAAATTGAAATCTTTTTTTCAAAAATAGGAATATATCTATTTCAAGAAGGAAATGAAAACTGGCATCGGGGGTGGAACGACGGAGATAAAATAATAAAATAATAATATAATATTTAATAATAAATATATAATAAATGATAAAATAATAAAATAAAAATTCTTCGTTCACTGAAAAACTTCCTCTTTACCCACGATAAAGAAAAAAAGAAAAATTCAACCTTCCTCTTCGACGTGTCATCGCTCATCGCCCGCTTTGTTTTCTTTCATCATCCTCGTTTCCTCTCCTCGCAAAGAAGAAAGAAGTCGAGGAACGTTTTTAAACATGTAAAAAAATACAAAACAACGATCACGGCCGCGAATTAATCAGCATGGAATTTACGTAGATGCCACCGCGAGATTGCAACGCACAATCTTCGTTTAATCGTCAGGATTACACGCTCATTTCTCATCCATTATAAAACGATAAAAAGCGATTATGATTCGCGATGAATCCTCGAATCGGGAAAAATTATAAACGCGAGAGGAAACGTGGAAGGAAATGGATGGAAGGGGAAGAAATAACGAAATAACGTGGGCTCGTGGATCGAGTGGGAGAAAGAAAGAAGGTTCTCGATCGAAAATATAACGAAATTGATTATTAATCAAGTGCACGATTTTGTAATTGCGATTGAAGCGAGTGAATTCAGGAAAGGAAATAAGATGAACTGAAATTCAAACGATTCGGTTGAATGATATTCCGTTATTATAGAGTGGATCTCAATTATGTATTTCGTTATAATTTTCTATTGATTTTGTTCTTGAGAAGGATCTTTAAGATGGTGATTTACGTTTACAGTAAATTTTCGAAATAATTGTTTCGTGCAATCTTGTAATTCTTTCTATTAATTATATTTGATAAAAAGAAGAATTTTGTAGACTCAGAGATTGTGAAATTAAAAAAAATCCTAACATCTATGAAAAAGAAAATTAAATAGTGTTTTGTGTTAGGTAACTCTATACATTAAAGTAAAATTTTTACAATATTCTTTTATATTTGTGCATATTTGTCTTCTCTTTTTGAAATTTAATAATAAATAATGCTTGAATTTTTTCATATATATATATATATCAATATATCAGGATAGAACAATTCAAAGATGACAATGATAAAATTTATAACTTCATAAATATTCAGAGTATACTATCCATATTCATATTATGTTTCCTATTCAGGTTCGTAAAAAATTTTTTGCAATATCCACAATCCAATTTTTTCACATCGAAAAAATTCTTCCATTATTTAATCTTTCACTTTACAGAAAATTAACAGAAAAGCTATATTTTTTAATTATTATCAACAATTGGAATAATAAAAACAATATTCCCCTGTATCCTTTAAAAAATTCGATTCTGTAATACGGAATGTATGTGGAATGATTGATTTAAAAAAAAAAAAAAAGAAAGAAAAAAATCAAAACATTCATCCTCCAATTACACAATCGAAAATCCATGATACAGATCGAAGAAGAAAAAACTCCGTGAAATCCGCGCATACATCCGTTGCTTACTAAATCGAGAACGTTTATGAAGCGAAGAAATCGCGTTAAAAAAAATAATTCGATCGAGAAAAACGATAAAATAATTTTCTGAATCACGTTATGTCGGCTGGTGCTTTCAGTGATTTCGTAAAAAGTTGTCGATCCGGTTGTTAAGTCGTATATAGACGATCCAGAAGCGGATCTATACAGAATCTATAGAGACTCGATCGAGGTCACGATCACTTTAACGGTAGTTTTCTGGGGACAATTGCTTTTAACCGTGAAACCGTATGCAATCGAAAAAAAATCTTCCACATATCGATCGCGTTACAATTATTCCAAATTTAATGCGATTTCGTGCGATTTTTCGAAAAATGGGGGAATTCTCGATCTCGTGAGATTTCGATCGAACAATTTCGTTTCGTGTTCTTTCTTTCTTTCTTCCCTTCCTTTTGTCTCTCTTTTTCTCTCCGTTCACGCACACCTTTTGACATTTTCTCCACTGGAAATATATTCAACAGAGGCGAGAAGGCATAGCGATGGAAAAGGGTGTGAATATCGAGGAATTAGATGAGTCAGATTTATCAGATTAATTGTAATAAATTGAGAGAAAGCAATATAAGAAATTTTGTTTAAATTATAAATTTTTTATTCTACTTTTACTTTTAATTTTAATTTTATTCACATTCCATAGCAGAATTTTAATAATTATTCCCGATGCCTTCTCCTTCTTAATTGCTAATTAATTATAAATAAATTATTAAACAATTAATATTAAAATAAAAATTATCTTATAGGTTAAATATTTCGTAAGAATAATTATTTATTTCTAAAAATAGGAAGAATAGAATTAGTGGGAGATGGTGGGGAAATCGAAAGTAACATTCTAATTTAGTAATTCTGGACCGTGTAATGAATCATTGTGACGTATGTATTCTTGATAATTTGCGTGAATACACGAATAGTGGTGTAATAGACGTGAAGAGATTCTTAAAGACTCGGACAAACCGTTCTCCCCATTATATTTTATTCACAACAAACCTGTTTGAGGCAATAATAATTGTAATCCGACATTCCTCGAGTAGGCTGTAGAAAAACTTGCGATGCAATTAGTATGAATACATTAACATAGAACTAAATTAAGAAACAATTTTTAGATTTCTTGTTTGATTATCAATATTATATCTTTTACTAATAAACTGATCAAATGTCAACAGGTAGAAATACTAATTTTTTATATTTGAAAAGTTGATCGTAAACTAGGAAAAATATATGACTATCTTCGTATAATAATAATAATATCTTAGTTTATAATAATAATATATATTATCTTTCACTTATTACTGGTAAAATATTAATTATAATTAAAGAAAATTATTATTAATTTTTCTTTCTTGTTTACTTTTTAATTGCACAGATATCGGTTCACTACGTGTTATAATTTTATATTTTGTATAATTATTCTTGATATCGATCGCAATAATTAAAAATCAATTAACGATTGCAAAGTTCGTGCTTTCCCATGAACAGAGAAAATAAAATGAATTTTATCTTATTTATCTTATTTTTATCTTATTTGTTTAAAAAATAAATAAACAAAGAAAATAAAGAAAGATATTTATTCCGATAAACTCTGATATTTATATTAATATTTTACACATTTTATCCTATTTCATTCTTACTCTACATCTCTTAAAGAATAAATTTTGTTTCTAACAAAAAAGCGATACAGATACATCAATCTTTAAAAACTATAAAAAATGATGCCTGACCCAAAAACTGATTATATACATTTAAGATAATCATTTGCTTTCATGCTAGTACATTATAATCATAATGAAATAAAATAAAATAAATAATTGGAATAAAAAAAGAAATAATTCCTCCGTTAAAATTGTTCCCAGAAAATTTTCTCGAATCAAATTTCAGAATCTTTTAATAATATATTTCTACAAAACTCGCTACCAAATAATTTCCTCGATACTTATATAAAACTATATAAACACGATCGCGCAATATCAAATGGGGATTGCAACGTGGAATAACGAGAGAAATGAAAAATGAATATAAATATAAACCAAGAATAAATTATTCTACTCACTTCTAGAGGGACGAGTCGGTCGACACGAGAGACAGTCAAAACCTCTTCGAAGTAACTCCATTCAATCGGCACCAAGGAACTTCACCCGCGGCGCCTCTCATTCCTTCCGTTTCCACCGCGAAGAGGCGCGCGAAGATCATTAACGAGCCGGCATTCCGCTTCTTACCTCTTCCACCCCCCCTCTTCCAGTATATATATATACTTTATTCGAAAAAAATTTCGCGAGAAAAAAATTCGAAAGATGATGATACAGAAATGTTTAAGTATCCGATATCGAGAAATGTAGGCAACGATCTCGAAAACCGGATGTAGAACCCAGACGAACTTTCTTCTCTCCCGATTATACCGTGGCAGGTAGCCCGGCCTTCGAGACAACCTCGAAGATTTTTTATTTTTCCCACTGTTCCTTCCAATTCTCCCGCCCCGATCTTTACTTCGAGTTCTTCCACTTTTTTTTTTCCTCCGCCTATCTTTCTTTCTCGTCTCGAGTAATGCACGATACACGAGATAAAAATAGTCGGGATTATTTTGGGGTGGGCGTGCGTTTTAATTTACGACTTCGGGAAAACGAAGCAATAATATCACGATTAATCTCGAATATTTGAAAACTTCTATTTTTATCTATCTCTATCTATATCTATATATATATTCTATTGAATATGAATCCTTCTTCTTCTTCTTCTACTTCTTCTTCAACTACATACAAACACTAAACTAAACTCGTCGAAAATCCCTCTTATAAACAATGTCCAACAGTCTTCTCCGCAATATAGTGAGCATAAAAACTGCACAATCCGTCACAATTCACAGAAATGTTCCTCACTCGGAATTCTCAGAATCAATATCATCAACAAATACCGGTGAAAATATTTATATATATCTGTAACCTGTTGCACGTTGTTCCTTCTATATACGTCGTAGAAAACACGAAAACACGAAGAACACACGCGAAAAAACCAAAACGTATTACGATAATATGTAATAGGAAAAACGGAAAAGCCGTTTTCCCTCCTTCGTGGAATTTTTTCCTACGTTGTCGAAAATCTCTTTGTTCGAAGGGAAGTACGGATGAGACGAAGGGAAGGGGGTGCTCGTTCGAAACTCGAACGACAACAATTCGAGACGCACGAGAGACACGCGCTCCACGACGGATGCCCCGCGACTGACTGCCGACAGACGCCGAACGAAGACTTTGAATAGGGGCCGTTTGGGGGTCGTCGCGCTGGAATGGAGGGAGAGGGGAGGGGAGGATACGCAGGGGGAGGGAACGATCGGTCGACTTACGTGGCGTTACGGGGTGGGAGATGCCCGTGGGACCCCATGGACACTGGGAACAGATGGGATTATATACAGGGTGAGTCGTTTCGAGTTTCGATGAGCGAGTAGAAATTTGAAGAACTCGTTTTTTCTAATTTTTTTTTTTTTTTTTTTTTACAGAAGATGAGATGTTCCGTGTCTCGTATCTCGTGCACGTTGAGAATTTAATTTTGATCAAGTGAAGAGAGAATGGAAAAGAATGTTTTACGTTTTGTATTACGAATATTTTTTTTTTTTTTTGGAGGAGGAGAAGAGATAAATGTTTTTCTTTTATTTTCATGAGAGGAGGAATTGTTGAGAATTTGATTGAAATTGAATCTTATTAATATAATTGTGGAAGAGAAGAAAGCTTTCGAGATGCTTTTTTGAAATTTTGCGAAGATATATTTTTTATACCATGGATTATATTAGAGATGTGTAGAGCGTATCAATTTGAAAAGGGAAAAAAATTGAAAATGCTTGTGAAGACAATTTGTGAAGAGATAGAATCATTACAAAGTGAATTATTTTGAATTGGATTATGAGTGATTGAATCAATATGGGATAAATTAATTATGAAATAATGTGATGGCAAACAGGCGTTATTTTTATTTCACGATGATAACGGTTAAATAATTGATTTCGTCACACTTCTAAATCTAATAAAGTATCTCGATGATTGATGCAAATTTCATCGGTGTATTTACATTTGACAGTTTGACACGCGAGAAGACAAGATTTATCGATTAAAAATCCAATTGGTTATTATTAAAATTTCACGAAGAAAACAATCTTACGGGACAAAGAAGTTTTTGATAACTATAATCTCCCACATTGTTCCCCGCTATTAACTTGAAGGTATAATAACCACGAACAAGGGTACACATTACACGTTGTTATAATAATTAGAGTCACTGACTGCCCAAACATTGTGCATAAAGAAAAAAAAAACAGTCACTTAAGATAATCTCTTGACGTAAAAGGTTCCATTAACATCGCCGTTGGTAATACGTGTTAATTCCATTTAATTTACACAGGAAATATTGTCAAAACATGCTGGTTATGTTATTTCATAAAATGATTTAAATTTCACGTATAAGGAAATGTGATGTAACTATGGGTATATTTAAATAAACGAATGATGTTTTAATTATTGGAATTGAAATAAAAATGAAATAAGATAGGAACGTGTCTTCGTTGCAAGGAAAAGAAATAATAATAACAACGATGAAATAAATTCTATTCTTTCATAAAGATATTTAATCAAAAAATATATATATATATATAAAGATTTTTTATGCGACATGCAACGTCGCAATACCTTGATCAAGACTTCAAAGCTTTACACTGGAAGCTTTAAAAATTCTATTGAAGAAAATTACACAAAGATGTGTATGTATAAAAAAATTTGCATCATAATAATGATATTTCCTCGTTGCTTAATAATCTCAACGCACAAACTAAATAAGATATAATATATGTAATATATGATAATATGATAATATGTAATCGACTCGTAATCAATTACGTAACAATCAAAATCCATCCGAAGAAAAATTTAAGAGAAAAAAAGAGCCATCAATTTATAGCTACTAAACCAAATAGTAGTTTCTTAATATTGTAAAAAAAAAATTCACATTATGTAATAAAAATAACAATCAACATTAAAAAAAAAAAAAGAGAGAGAGAGAGAAAGGATCCTTAATGGATACATAAACATTGACTATATAACAATTAATAAAATTCCAATTCAACAAAAAAATTTCATACTTTCTTTTCGTAAAAAATTTCATCAATTTCAATCGTATATATACCATAAAATCATAAAGCAAAATAAAAATCTTCTCAATGAATAAATAAAACTGGCCATATTCGTGAAAAACATTATAAGATGATATCGATCCTTCCTCAAAAACACGAAATATCTTATAAAAGGCATAAAAAAAAAAAAAAAAAAAAAAATAAAAGAGAAAAAAAAGAAACGAATATTCGGTTTCTGACGAATATTCACTGGATGTTTCGTAACATCTCCACGATATTGATAAACATATTGAATGAAATAAAAAATCACTGTTCGTAGATGATCGACGTACGATTAATCGGCGTCGATAACACGATACCGTTCGATAGTTAAAACACGTGTAATTAATATTAATAACGCGGGTTTTCTCTTCTGGATGACGGCGAAATAAGCGGTTGGATGAAAGAATACTTGTAGACGGGCTGAGATGAACAGTTAGAAGGATATAGTAACGGGTATTCGTCGGAAGGTATCTACGAAATGAAATTTATCTCTTATCCACGTCACCACGTGGTTCCAACCACGTGTTTCGCGATTAATAAGTCACTTTTTATTTCATTTGATTGATATTCATTTTCTTCGAACTCAAAATTTTATTTCATTTCTTGGGCGCGAGGGGGAAAGAATTTTTATTATCAAAGGAGGATCTGATGGAAGATAGTGATATTATATTTTATTGTATTTTTAGAAAATATGAAAAAAACGTTTAACGTCGAAGAAAAATTCTAACAACAAATTCCATGTGTTATTTTTTTTATCTCGCATAAGAAAAAAGGAAGAGAATGTTTGTCCATTTTTTTTTTTTTTTTTAGAAGAAGAACCGTGAAGAATTGCGAAAAGAAGAGACGAAAAGGATGATTTCACGTTTAATATTTTTTTTGTCTTAAATACAAAAGAATGTTTACAATCACGGAAATGATTGTACGGTATTTTTATTACGGTATTTATTAGTTGGAAAATCGATTCATTCTGCGATATTATTTCTTAATATTGCAGCGGAATAGTGATGGATTATGCAAGATCGTAAACTCTAAAATGAATAAATTTTACATAATTATACATTTAAATAAATGTTACATTGGCGATCATCCGATAATAAACAAGTGATTAACATTATAATTATACACTTCGTGTAGCAAAAACAAACTGAACTAAAAAAAATTAATTTGCCTCTCAGATGGTTTTAGCTTCTTTATTAATAACATTATACGAGGAACATAATATTATTATAAACTGCAAAAAAACTTTTCCGCTGTATCATTTAAAAAAAGCTAAAATACGCGAGCAAAATATCTTTTTTTTTTTTTTCAAATTATTTTAAAAAAGAAGCGATAATAATATTATTACAAACGAAGATATCATCAATCTAAATCTGATCGCTTTTCCATCGATATTATCCTCTTAAACAATTTTCCGTTCACAATTAGATTTTAAATTTATTTTAACAAGTTTCGAAACAAGTTCTCACGAAGAATTCAATTCAATTGTTTCGCGAATCTGAAAATTAAGTTTCGATATTCGTTTAAAAGTTCGTTCATCGTCATTTTCAAATTCGACCAATTTCTCCGTGGAGAATGTCGAGAGTATCGAAATTTAATTAAACATCAAGTTTATCCGAGGAAGATCGATAGACAATGTGTACACGACCAATGTACAACTGTGAAATAATATTGAAACTATATATGCGCTCACGTGATGTGTAACGCTCCCTGTTCGCCATTTATTCCGAAATATCTATTTCGCTCGCGTGCAAAACGAGAGCGAAAACTTAATGCCCGGATGTGTTCGCATTGAAACTACCTTGGGCCAGTATCGACGTTGTGCACGACAAATATTGACCAACGTGGCCGATATTTCCCTCCCCAGAAGCCATATTTCGCCTGTTCCTTCGCTTAACGGAACGATTCTGCGGAACACGCGACGTTGAAAGGCTTATGACACGGGTTGCGGTTATTCTAACCTTGTTCGGTCGACTTATAAATCGCGAGCGATTGGACTACGATTTCCATTGATTTCGAGTGGAGTAAATAATTTAATCGATCGACGACGAGAGATAAAGATTTGCGCGAATCGAGTATATGGAGAGATTGTACGAAAGAATCTTTCCCTCCTTTTTTAAAAGAAATTTCAAATAAAAATTTTCAAAATAATTTATACCCTTATAGCCCATTTTTATTTCTATCGATGGTAATTTTATTGTTAATTACCCATCTGGTATTGTTAGTATTTAAAAACGAAAAAGGATACTTAAAAGTTGATAAAATGAAAAGAATGGGCGTTTAAATGAAACTTCGATGATTTAAGATCATAAATTAACATTTTTAAAAAACTAAATTAAAAAAAAAGAAAATGAGAAATAGGGAAAATTGTTTAACTTTGTGTTAATAAGTTAATGGTGAGGGAAGGATAACCTTGAGTCAATAATCATCTTCAAAATCATTAAAAAACGCGGAGAAATTTACTTCAAATATGTTGTCTCAATGATCAAATCGCTCGTTAAAAGATCAAAGATACGAAGATCTGTTCGAGGTAATCAACCTCATTCCCTGGTCGATCCCATCGTTTCTTTCAATGGATCATTATGTGAAGTATATCACATAGACAATTTTCTCCACGTAAATTGATTAATTTAATGCATTATTAACCGATCATCAATGACCATTGTAGCAGGATACAATTTTTAGCTTTTTCTTTTGTCTCAACGTTAAACCAACGTTCATTAAATTTTTATAATTGATTAATTGATTAATTGATTAATTAATCCAACCTGAATGCACTCGTTTTGAAAACGGATGTTGTAACGTGGGACTTGGTTCCCTTTTTGTCATCGTTCTTTTGTTCTTTCATTCGAATGTAAAATTATTTAATTTTTGCACGCTTATTTAATTTTTGTCAATTTTTATATTTCTTATCTCTCCAATCCTTATAATATTAATCATTCGATAAAAAATAAATATCTTTCAGTTTCTTCGTTTCCTAATTCATTTCATTTGGAGAATGAATTATTACGTCTTAAAATATTTCATTGACACATTTATTTTTATATAGATCATGAAGAGATGCCAGCGAGT